GTTGAGGGAAGTGGAGAGCAGGCGTTAGGAAGGGAAGGGGAGGCGTTGGGAAGGAAGGGGGGTCTCGGCAGCACCCCGACATCCCAGCCCGGCTGAGGAGCGGCTCCCCGGTGGCAGTGGGGAGGTGGGGTGGTCCCTGTCCTGCCGATGTGGGAGGGATGGAGGGAAGAATAAGGGAGGGAAGGAGGGATGGGATGAGGCAGGGAAGGAGGAATGGAATGGAGGAATGAGGCAGGGATGGAGGGAGGGGAGGAGGGATGGGATGGAAGCATGAGGCAGAGAAGGAAGGATGGGATGAGGCAGGGAAGGAGGCAGGGATGGAGGAAGGGATGAGGCAGGAAAGGAGGAATGAGATGGAATGATGAGGCAGGGAAGGAGGGATGGGATGAGGCCAGGATGGGATGGAGGCAGAGATGGGATGAAGCAGGGAAGGAGGGAGGGATGGGATGGAGGCAGGGATGGGATGGAGGGATGGGATGGAGAGAGGGATGGAGGGATGGGGGCAGGGATGGGATGGAGGCATGGGATGGAGGCAGGGATGGGATGGAGGGATGGGATGGGATGGAGGGATGGGATGGAGGGAGGGATGGGATGGAGGCAGGGATGGGATGAGGCAGGGGCAGGATGAGGCCGGGACGGGATGAGGCCGGGATGGGATGGAGGGAGGGTGTTTGTGGCTCCCGCTGGGTTCTCGCCTGGCTCAGAGCGCGGGCGTAGCAGAGGGAGCTGCTTTGGCACTTACCGGTATCCAGAGTTGCAAAAAAGTATGGATACACGGACAGACAGACAGACAGACAGCTGGATGCACAGACAGATGTGCAGGTAGATCAGGGGGGTGGGTACACACGGATAAAGGGAGGGCTGGGTAGATACAGGACAGATGGACACCCAGCCAGGTGTACGGGTAGGTAGGATGGGTGGATGGCCGGACAGACAGACGGGTGGGTAGGTGGATGCACAGGTGGGTGAAGATACAGAGACATGTAGGTATAGGTGCAGGGATGGGTGGATGGACGGGGATGCACAGACAGACAGACAGACAGGCAGATGGCGACACATGGACGGGGCAGCTGCAGTGGGGAAGGAGGGGACGGGGACAGGGATGGGGACAGGGACGGGGTGTCTCGGCACCGGCAGCCCTGGAGCGGGGCCCGAGGCCTCACGTCCGTCCGTCCACGCACGGGAGCAGCCGTCCGTGTTTCCTCAAGCCTCGGCGCCCAGGCCGGCTCGGGAGAGCGCGCCTCCGATGGCCCCCCCTGCGGTTCCCGGCTCGGGTGTGGGGCGAAAAGGGGCCTCGGCTGCCGGGAGCTTCTGATTTGGGGTTAATTATGGGGGATTTGAGTGGATCTGAGCGGAAACGGGGGCAGCTCAGCACGTTTGGGGCTGATCTGGAGCGGGTTCGTCCTCAGCCGTCAAACGGGGACCAGCAATGCGGGACAGACAGAGGGACAGACAGACAGACAGAGATGCAGAGATAAAGGAGATCAAGGGTTGGGGCCGGGGCGGGGGAGCGGATGCTCCGCGGGACACAGGGATAACCCGAGAGATGGAAAGCTAAACGCCAGGAGAGACAGAAGCAGCTGGACAGACAGACGGACGGATCCCGCCCCGGGCTCTGCCGGCTCAGCGTGCTCACCTGGGTGGGTTTGGGTTAAAAAACCCTGTTTTTTCTACCTGCCGGAACATTCCCGGTGGGGAACGGCGGTTTATTCCCTTTTCCCGCTCATTCCTGGGATCCCTTGGGCCGGAGGGAGATGGGTTTGGCCTCGCCAGCGTCGCCGGGGGCGGCGGCTGCACGGCAACGTTCCGGTTTTTATTGAATTCCTTTAAATAAACGGAAAAAAAAAAAAAGGGAAAAACCCACGGAGAAGAGAGGAATTAAGGGAAGCGAAAGGCTCCAGATTCGTCTCTGGGAATAAATGGAGATCTCTGGCTCTTGGCCTTCCCTCTCCTCCTTTCCCTCGCAGTGCCTGCGACCACGTGAAGAGCTCCGGATAATTTACGGCCCTTCCCGGGAAGCCTCCGGAGGCGGCTGGTTTCTCCCGCGATATTGGTAGGGATGTGGGGACTGGAGGCTGCGCCCGGCGCCCGGTGATGGACGGGGCCGGAGCCGGTGCCTCCCCTTGGCCTGGGGGGAAATCTTGGGATCGGGATTGGGCTGCGGGCGCCATGCTGGCGTCCTGCGTCCCGTGTAACGCCCGGCCAGCGCGCTGGGGTGACGTGGGGCACCAGGCGAGAGCCCCGTGGGTGCCCTATAGGTGCCACGAACACCCCGTGAGCACCCCATGGGTGCCATGAACACCCTGTGAGGACCCCATAGGTACCATTAACACCCTGTGAGGACCCCATGGGTGCTCTATAGGTACCATGAACACCCCGTGAGCACCCCATGGGTGCCATGAACACCCTGTGAGGACCCCATAGGTACCATTAACACCCTGTGAGGACCCCATGGGTGCTCTATAGGTACCATGAACACCCCGTGAGCACCCCATGGGTGCCATGAACACCCTGTGAGGACCCCATAGGTACCATTAACACCCTGTGAGGACCCCATGGGTGCTCTATAGGTACCATGAACACCCCGTGAGCACCCCATGGGTGCCATGAACACCCTGTGAGGACCCCATAGGTACCATTAACACCCTGTGAGGACCCCATGGGTGCTCTATAGGTACCATGAACACCCCGTGAGGACCCCATAGGTACCACGAACGCCCCGTGGGTGCCCTATAGGTACCACAAACAGGCCTCCCACCCTGCATCGCCCTGGGGACACCCCGGTGTACTCGGTCACTACCCCGCAGTGAGCCCCTAAAACACCCCGTGAGCCCCCCGCCCACCTCCCTGCCTCAGTTTCCCCTCGGCAGAAGCGGGGCCGCACCGCGAGGCCGTCAGTGCTGGGGGAGGAAGTGAAGAAGAAGGGCGAAGCTAATTGAAAAGGAAGGGGAAATTTTTAATCAGGGCGAATGTAATTACTGCCGCTGGAGCTGGGCCAGGGCCGGGGGTTAATGGCCCTGTGGCTTCAATCCCATCTTCCCCTCGCCTCGGCCTCCTCTTCCTCCCATGCTCCCGGGCGGGAATTGCTGGTGAATCCCAGGAGTGGAGCCTCCTCCTTCCCTCCAGTCTTTCCCCCATCCCTCTCTCCGTCCTTCCATCCCTCCTTCTGCCCCTCCTGCCCTCCATCCTTCCCTCTAGCCCTCCCTCCATCCCTCCTCCCTCCCTCCCTCCCTCCCTCCCTCCCTCCTTCCCATCCCA